CCTCCAGCTTCTCGGCGTGCGGCGCCGCCATCGGCGCTCCGAGCCCGCGCCGCCCGCCCCGGAAACGGAAGCAGAGCCGGAAGCCGGCCGGGAGCGACCACCGGCCTGAGGGAGGGACGTACCACTCCGGAGCTGCGGAGGAACCTACCACTCCGGAGATGGGGAGAGACCAGGATGTACCACTCTGGAGCTGGGGAGGATGGTTCGGGAGACCGGGACCTACCACTCCGCAGTCGGGAAGGGCTGTACCACTCCTAGCGCGCGGGGAGGACGACTCAGACTGTTCCACTAACGCTGGGGAGGTGGGGACTTGCACAGACCATTCATGTGGGGCGGGGCTGCACCCCACCCCCTCCAGTGGTCCAGCAGAAGGGCGCCCCCTCGTGCCCGCTCCACCCCAGGGTCCTTCCCCCTCCCGAGAGAGCGACACCCCAGGGTGGGGACAGCACCCAGGCCCCCCCGCACCAGCAGCACTCGCAGCCGCGCTACAGAAATACCAACTTTAATAAGAACCGCGCTGCTTTGGTATCTCAGCCCCATACAAATGCGCCCGTGTGAGGGGCCGGGGCGACGCTTTGGCTTCGCAGTACGAGGTGCATGCAACACGGGCTGCCAGGGCAGGGAAGGGGGACGTGCCCTGGTCAACCCCACCCACGCCCACCCAGGGGCCACAACCGAGGGGCAGCCAGGGCTGGGGTGTGGCTCGGGCTCCCCTTGGGGCAGAATGGGGCCCATCTGCCACCCAGCACCGGCTGCTCCAGGCAGGCCTGGCTGGGAGCCACTAGGGCAGGGGTTGTACTGAGAGCAGCTGGGGGCAGGGGGGGTGTGGCGTGATGGGGGCAAGCCCAGGGGTACCTGGGGGTGGGGGAGCCTTGCCTCAGGCCAGGGCTGTGCCCCCCAGGCAGGCGGCTTTGCATAAGAGTCTGGGACCTGTGGGGGTCAAGGCACAGTTAATACGTAAAGTGATCGGGGCATTTAGAGGTGCGCGGCCAGCCTGCCCGTCAGCTTGTGGGAGCAGCGTGCCCAACCCCTGCAACAGGGGTCCTGTGCGGGGAGCCCCTCGCACCTGGGGGGACAGGGGCACAGGACAGATGAGGTCAGGGGTCCCCTACGGAGGGGGAACAGGCTCGAGGGAATGGGAGTCCTACCTCCCACAGACAGCTCTGTGGGTAGCGGGGGCTCTCTTCAGTGTGTGTGCATGTGTGCGCGCGCGCATTTGTAGGCGTTAGGGACCCCTAACGCATGTGAGCGTGCGCGTGTGGTTGTGGTGTTGCCTTGGCTGGGGTCTGCAGACTGTGGCCACAGGCAGGGGCTTTGGTGCTAGCGAAGCGCCGTGGGGCAGGGCGTGTGCTTTGGCAGGAGGCCCCTTCCTCTCCCACAGGAACAGGCTTCTGGCCCCAGTTCTTGGCCCTGCTCCAAGGGGCCCCAGCTCTGGCAGGAGGTCCCTGCAGGGATAGGCAGGCTCCAACAGGGCTGGCAGGAGCTCCCCTGCGAGGACAGGCAGGCTCCAATAGGCAGGTTTTTTGGTTCCACGTGGAGCTGCTCAGACAGTCCAAAAGCCCCACTGGGAGGGGGTCGGGGGGGAAAGGCCTGGCCGAGCTGGGCCGGGGCCACGCACGGAGGCCCCACACCCCTCACAGTCTCCTCTCCACTGGCTGCTGCAGGCACATCTCGCTGCCAGCGGAGATGATGGGCAGGTGATTGTCCATATGGTAGCTGATCAGGTGGCTGACGCTTTCGAACCGGTGATCCTTGGTCCGGACCTGTGGGGCCGGGAGGAGCCACTCAGGAGGCTGCTGGGGGCTGCAGCCATGAGGCCCACAGCCAGCCCCAGAGCCTGCCATGTTGCACACCTCCCCCCTCCAAGACCGCGGGGTGTGCTTGTACCACCTATGGGGCAGCAGGGCTCCTGTCCCCAACCCCCACAGCCAGGCCTCAAGATCCCTTGGGGCAGATGCAGGCACAAGGTCTGGGGGTAATCAGGAGGGGAGCGAGCTGTGTTCTGCCCTGGCTCCAGGCATGTAAAACACCTGGCTGCAGGAGGGGCTGCAGCCCCGGAGCCCCAACTCACCACTCCCTCCGGATCCACGAGCAGCAGGTGCTTGGGCTGCCCGCCCTGCAGCCCAGTCAGTACATACTGCCCCGGCGTGGTGGTGCTCTCGCGCACCAGGAAGTCCCCATTCACTTTCAGCAACTTCTCGGCCTCCTTGCGGTTCATCTTCCCGTGGTACCAGGGCTCCCGCTGCAACTGCTCTTCCATGGAGGCTACCACCTGGGCTGGCGGCAGCCCCATGGGCACAGGAGGCGGCACGCGCAGAGCATCTTCAAATGGCTCTGTGGGGAAGGAGGCGGGGGTCAGAGGCACCAGCACAGGGCAGGGGCTGAGCCCCTGGGTTCCCCATGCCTTCCAGCAAGGCTATGACTCCCTATGCCCCCATCCCCACAGCCTAGCCCACTCACTCATGTCAAAGAGGTCCCTCTGGGTGCTACCGTTGGAGGTGCCAGGGAGGCCGGTGGTGGAGGCCTGGCGCACCTTGTCCAGGTTCTGCACGTTGACATAGGATGGGTCATCAAAGAGGTCAGGGCGCCCAGGCCCCCCGGCCAGGGCAGGGAGCTTCTCCCGTCCTGTGGAGAGATGGGCGTCAACTGGGCAGACTGCTCCAGGAGCAGGGACAGAGTGGGCTCCAGATGTCACGGGCCTCATGGCTTGCAGGGCTGCTCCCAGGCCCCCAGCACAGTGCAGAGGGGCAGGCAGGCTTGGTGCCAGGTACAGTGGGTGCTCTGCCCCTGGCGCTAGCTTTGTGCTCTCTGGGGCGCTCCTGACAAAGTAGTGATGGCCGCCCGCCATACTCAATGCTGGCCCTGACACCCCCGGCCACGCAGTCACACATGCTCAGTGCTCAGCCTGCCCAGCTGCTACAGAGGGAGGCATGGGGTGGTCAGGGCTGGTAGGTAAGGGACCCCGCACCATCTGCCAGGACACAGGCAGGTCTGTGCCCAGCCAGGTGCCACTGGGTAGGCAGGTGGGGACAATGCCTTCCCTGGCATGTACCTTGCGCAGGAGGGTGCTGCTTCCGGGTCTCGTGGTTGCCTCCAGACACCTGGCCCACGGGCTGTGGGAACAGCAGGGAGCAACTAAGCTGGGGATCAACTCCCAACGCTCATACCCCAGTGGCTCCCTGCCCTGCCCCGTGTCAGCAGCAGCTCGCTGAGCCCGTTGTGCCGAGACACCCCGATGAGCCTGGCCCCATGACCTGGATGTGCCCAAGCCCTGGGCCAAGAGGCATCTCCATCCTTTCCACCCACACTGTGTCTCCCTGACCCCACCCGTGTGCCCGGCCAGGTACAGCTCACCAGCGTGGCCCCCAGATGGTTGGGTGTCAGGGCTGCGCCAGCGCCGTCACGCAGCCGCATGTCCACCAGACCCCCAATGGGTGGTTCCTTGCCGGGGAAGTCATTGTAGTACTGGTGATCCGTGGCCTCCTCCTCCTCCTCGTCCCAGGCTGAGCCATCGAATCCAGCCATCCTGGGGAGGGGAGATGCAGGGCGTCACTGGACGCGTGCTGCACTCTTCCAGCATGGGGTGTCCCTGCCCTGGGATGCCCCATTGTGCCCAGGCAGAGCAGCCCATGGACGATGCCCGATGGAGCAGGCCGTGGCCCACCCCAGTGCCATAAGGTTACCCAGGAGGCTCTTACCGGTCATGGGGCGTCACCAGCTTCGGGGGGTTCTTTAGGTACTGCTTGAAACGCAGCTCAAAGGCCTGCCCAATGGTGCTAATCACGTCCTGGGCCAGGCCCTCGGGGCACTCCAGGATGTGGCAGGCTGTGGGAGGACAGCAGGGCTGGGGAGGGAGGGGCTCAGCACGACCCCTCTCTCACCCCACCCAGCCCAGCCCAAGGCCTCCTGGCAGGAGTGAGACATTCCCTGCAGCTTGGAAATGGCGGGAGGTGCCCGCTAAGCAAGAGGCTGGGAAAACCTTGACTACCAGGTTCATGTACAGGCCAGTGGGACGCTCAGCAGGCTGCCCCCCGCCCCCCAGCTGTGCCGCAGCTGGTGTCCTCACCTCTCTGATTGACAGGGTCTTTGGCAACGTAGGCAACATACTCTGCAGTGTCCTGTGGATAAGAGCAGGGTGAGAGGGGCAGGCCAGGCCAGGCATGCAGAAGGACATATAGGAAGGGAGTAGGGCAGGGTGTTGGGGTGCATACTCAACCCCCCTACATCTGTCCCATAGCAAAGACTCCCCAGGCAGGCAGCTGTCCTGCCCCCAAGAGGAGCCGGGGACCACGAACAGGGGCCAGTCCCTACCACACTCTGCTGGGCCAGGGGCTCTGGGCCCCAGCATGTGTGTGGCCTCCTGGCTCCAGGCAAGCCTTGGACAGAGGGGCCCAAGGTGGAACCTCCCTACAAGGATCCTGGGGCCAAAGGCCACAAACCAGCAGCCGCACGGCTCAGCCCTGTACTCACCGGGTCGCCCCCGGAGGCAAAGGAGATGGACTGCATGTGGTGGTTGGCGATGATCTGCAGGAAGGAGAGGGGCTGTCAGAGGCAGCCTACAGCACTGTGGCCAGACCTGTTCAGCCCCTGGAGTTGGCCGTCACAGCCTGCCCCGGGGCTTTGCCACGGAGCCTCCCCTAACCTCTCAGGTTCAGTAGGCAGAAAACACAGGAGTCCTGCCTGCCTGTGGGGCCCTGGGTTGAATCTGCCCTGCTCTCACCTGCTTGCAGTCAGAGGCCATGAGGTTGAGGCTGCTGGTAGAGATGGTGAGGGTAATAGGCATGCCAGCAAACTTCAGGTTGCTCTTGCCCAGGATGGAGTTGAGCGAGCGGCCACAGGGCTGCAAGGGAGAGGGACAGTGTGTGCAGGAGGTGCAGTGGAAGGGAGCGCACCTGCCACCCATCTCGCATGCAGCATGATGCCTAGGCATCGGTGCCAGTACTAAGCACCTGCCCCAATGTCTGGACAGTGCTGAGTGGGGATGGAAGCTCTCCCAGGGCCTCAGCCCCCTGCAGTGAGAAGGGGTAGGGGTTTCCCACCTCCTGGGCAAGTCCAGGACCCCCTGGGACACAACAGGGCAGCCCCTTGTCCCGCAGGCCCCACAATGCAATCAGGCTGGTGCCAAGGTCAAAGCCAGATCCCAGCACCACCCGTCAGTCCCACTCCAGCCCTCATCAATGTCTGTGCCTCACCTTCCTTCTGCGCACGGCTCCTTTGGCTCCGGGCACTGCCTCGCACACTAGGCTGATTGCCTCCCTGCCAGGGACAATCTGTCAACCGCATCCCCACCCACCACCCGGGCAGCCCCTCCTCCCCAGACCCAGCTGGTGGAGGAGGAGGAGAGCTGCACCGAGGGACTGGGATGGGGCTGGTGCCAGGGCCCACCCCTGTTCAGCCTACCATGGCCACAGCTGCTGGCCCTGGGGTGCACACCCCAGGGGAGGCAGGGACACCCCCAGCTTATGGATTCCCCACACTTGCTCCCACCGCTGGTGCAACAGGGCCGAGCCGGATGCGGGGCCAAGAGAGGCTGAAGCGAGTGCGTTAATATTTGATGGAGCTGTGCGGATGCTTCCTGTCTGGCTGTGCTGAGGCCCGCTGACAGGCACATCGATCTCCCGGCAGCCTCCTCCACAGCTGCAGACAGCTCGGCTGCCACTACAACCCTGGCATGGCACCACAGCCTGCCCAGCTCCAGCTCTGGCCTCTCCCCTGGGCTCCACATGGCAACCTAGTTCTGGGCTGTGACCTGCCCCATCCCACCCTGCATTGAGGGCCACAGTGGCTGCATGACCACAGGCATCGCCACACCCCTGGGGACTCACCTGGTGACCTGAGTCCGGGTGTTGAAATCTAGTGCTCTCATGGACTGGAGAACTTCCACGCAACCCATGTACTAGGGGGAGAGAGAGTGCATGAGACCCGGGGTCCACAGTGGTCCCGCTGGGGGGCCCCCCGCCTCCCCCCATGACAGTCTGCTGCCCTGCACTGGGGCACCAACCCCCTAGCACGTGCCAGGGGCAGAGGCTGGCCCCGGGGGTGCTCTGGTCTGGGCCAGGCCTCGCTTCTGGGCCCCCCCGCCAGTGCCCTGTCACTGCACATGCCCAGCCCAAGGAGGAGGTGGAGGGGCAGGGCTGGGAATCCTGGGAGCCAGGGCTCAGCTGCAAGCTCTGGCCAGGTCTGCCTCAGCAAAGCCTCTTGCCTGGGGCAGTAATGCCACCTTCGCCTGCTGGGGACGCTTCCCCATTCTGCTTCCTCTGCGCTGTGCCTGGAAGGAAGTTGTTTCCTAGAAAATCCAGTGTTCCCACAGTCATGGCTGGGGGGAGGGTAGCTGCCCAGTGCCCAGGGCTGAACAGCTGCATGGAGGCAGGAGCTGTGTCAGCTGAGGGGGTCTAGGCAGTGCTGGGAGTGGGGGGCTGTGTGCCTGCCCTGAGCCAAGTCCTCTTACAGCCCCATCTGAGCTGGTGGAAGTGCCCACACTCTGTCCTCATGCCCTGGGCAGTGCTGGGGAGGTGGCACTGCTGGCAGGCTCTGACTCACCACTGACAGCTGGAGGCAAACAGGAAAGGGCCAGACCAGCAGCTGCACTGGGGTCATGCATGGTGCTGCCCTGACCCCATGGGGTCCTGCTGAGGCTGCCACAGGTGGCTGGCCAGAGACAGCAGAGGCATGGGCAGGACTACCCCATGGGCAGGGCAGCCCCTTGGCAGAGCTAAGGTGCTGGTGGACCTGTGCCCTTGGCTGGCAGGCATCCTGGCTTAGCACACTCTCTGGTGGGACAGCCAGATCCTGGGGCCCTGGGTGCCAAGGGGAGGCACCAGCCATTGTCACCGTCCTGGCCCCTGGCCCTGGCTGGGGTGTTGGCAAGTGGCACGTGCAGCTGACTGGGCCAAAGGGCAGCCTGGGGAGCTCTGCACCCTGTCCCAGCGAGGGGGCAACCCCAGAGCATCCTGGAAGCTGCTACCCCCACAGGTCAAAGGGACCAGGACAACACCAGCCCCCCTGCCCATCTGGGGCTTTCAAGGCTCCTCCCTGCCTCCTCCTACTCCTGCTCAGCAGGTCCAGAGCAGCCTGCCAGGCTCTGGCTCCCGGGTACGAGGTGCCCTCACCCCTGGGTAGTGCATCAGATTGCACGGGAATGCTGAGCAAGGGGGACATGGACCCTGTGTCCTGGCTGGCCCCACCCCTGCAGCATCCCATGCACCCCACCCAGCGGGGGCGTGCACAGTGCCAGCACAGTGAGACCTGGGGCAGGGGAGGTGTTGTCCCAAACTTGCAAGGAAAGGGAAGAAAA